CCGCTGCACAGCTGGGCTCGGTGAAGAGCAGTTACCGAACTGAGGAGTGACTGTGATGGCGACAGTATATATATGTGCAGGCGGAGCCTGACATCTGTCATCATCACCTGCCTAAAGGCGTGATTAGAGGTGGCTTCAGCCAGGACACGCAGGAGCGTGGTTTCCCATACATGATGTGTTGTACCTCGTTCCTTTCCTTCAGGGAACAGTAGTTATATGCATAACATTACGTTCGCCGCGCCTCGTCACGAGCTCTGAGAGCAGCACCAATATTATCAAAAGTACCTCCTGATTTGTTTTATATGTCCTTCCTGCAGTGTGTTTCTCCAGGGTTAGTGAGAACTGAATTCAATTCACGTTTTTTGGGTGAAACACAGGACAAATCTGCTGTTTTGTACTCTCAGTATAAGGTAAACATTTGATTTCTATATTAAGCTGTTATGCATTTTGGTGCACGTTTTTACTGCTGTTTGTCTCGTTTCCTCAGCCTCTGGAAGCCGTCGACGTTGCTGATGCCGTCGTCTACGTCCTGAGCGCTCCTCCTCATGTGCAGGTATTGATTCGTTTATTTTTTGCTAATAATTATAAATTATTTTCACACAAGACGAGGTCTTTCTGTTGATCGTTTTCTGTTTCTTTTTCCTTCAGATTGGAGATGTTCAGATGCGATCTGTGGAGCAAATGACTTAGAGTTGCATCAGGATGAATTTAATCGCGATTCTTTTATCTATAAGTCTCAAAGAAAGTGACAACTCAGATTTAATGTCTGCTTTGAGTTGCATCTTTTACTGCAAACAGAGTTCAAACCTGCGTAAAACCTACAAATCAATATTTTAAACAATCCTGAAAGACTGAATACAATAAAGATGTACTATTATTCTACTGGTTTCCATTTGGTAAAACATGCAGGAGGTCTTGTTGAAAGAACCAGCATCATCTTTCTCATGTTAATGAGCACTGACTCACACAGAAACCTACGTTTCCTGCATTCTGGTGTATTTTACAGGTTCCTAAACATACGTTTACCTACATAAAAACACTTGATTAAATAACTAAGTTAGAGACAGTTTCTTCATTTGTTTAGTTGCATCATCTTGTTTTTTAAACTCACTGCTATAGCCATGATAATGAAATGAATGTGACACAATCTATCACAATGATTTTAGAGAATAATTTTACGTTTCCATTGTTTATTCTTGATTTAGTTTTATTTGTAACAGAACATGTCATTGTGCCAAGCAATGATGACCCTTAACTGCATGTTTAAAACTGAGAACATTAAAAATTTTACCCAGTAAACAGGTAAAATATTGATAACCACCAGCATTGAATTTAGGAGGCATTTCTTTGCCTGATTTAATGACAGGTCCACTCATAACAAAATGACATGGGCTGTGTCCAAAACGGCAGGATGGGTCCTCCGAAGGCCGAATTTGTCGACTGCATACGTCACAGCCCCGCGACGAAGGCCGTTCAAAACCGAAGACTCGTCCGATGCGGTCGAATAATACGTCCTTCCTTTGGCCCGAATCGAAGGACTGGTCTGATGGATCCTTCCCGGCCCAGCATATCCCATAATGCATTGCGGCCCGACCAGAGATTTTTTTATGCTAGTAATGGCAGACGAAGCAAGAGAAAAGAATATGATTTAAATAAAAAATATGGTGATTTAAATATTTTTTTTAATTAGCGGTTGTAATTCTAATACTTTTATCATTTGTATGGACTAATATTAAAATATACTAATAATACTAAATATTATTTTTGTCATAAAAAAACTCAAAATAAACATGCACCTACAGCGGGTCAATTGGTTCTTCAAATGATACCTTTAAGTTAATTTTATAGTTTGGTGATATTAATAATGCTAATGTATTGATATTTTTCTAATTTTGATTTAAAGTGTATCTTACCCCCCTGTGAAAAGATAACTCCGCCCCAAGGCGAAATTTGAAAAATGCATCAAAGTGGGTAGGGGAGGGGGTGTGGGTAGGAGAGGGGGGGTTAGAGAGTGGAGATGTGGCCAGGACGAGAGAACGACAGCCTCGGCTGAGCTGTCCGCCTCACAGGAC